AAGTGCATTATTAGTTGTACGAGGAGGGGGAGTGAGAGTTATTATTTCGCGGCGCCCCCTCCGGGCCCCTGCCGTCTCTGGCGGGCTCTTGCCCTCCGGTTCTGGCATAGCACACTACACAGGCTGCGAACCAAGATGCGCCGTCTGCTGTACGGTTTTGATGATGCTCTGCGCCAGCTCTCGTGAGCAGAGAAAATAAGAAATTGCCCATAAAAGAAATTCAGGAGGAATTGGCGGCACGAAAAAATAAAAAACTTGACACAATAACTTGAACGACATACGCTGACTTTATACCCCACAAAAAAATTCGAGGCTAGACCTGAAATACGCGTTTCTTAATTGCGGGCGTTAACTGTATCAAAGGCACGCTTTCAGCAAAAACATACATGGTCTCTTTTCGTCGAATTTAACCACGGGTTGCTACCAGATTTGACCCACAACTGCCACACCGCACCTGGTCGTTTCGCCCTGTCTACCCACCGTTCCCTCCATCAAAGGAGGCGAAGAAGCGTTTACGAGAGGCTATTGACGCCCTGATGACGGGGGACACGTCTGCCGAAATGGAGCTCGCCCTGGAAAAATGGGACAAATATGTCACCAACCACCCCGATCACATCAAAGAGCAGGCCGCCGAAGAGCAGGCATGGGAAGCAGCAAATGAGCAAAAAAACAACGAGGCGCTCCATCTTATGAAGACTTTCGTTCCGCCCGACATCTTTCACGCTGGCCTTGACGGTCTACGGGGAGGGGGGCTGACGCCGGCGCTCGCAAAGAGGATATTCGATCGCAAGGTAAAAAGGGTATAGCGCATGCGTAGATACGGAGAAGGGGATATGCATGCAACATCATGACGCGCCTAGACGAAACAAATAGTGCAAGTGCATGCATCATGAAACTCCGTAGCCTATCGCCAAAGAAGCTTTGAAAGGCGCCCGCGTGGCCTCCTTTTCTTAGAGCATCCTTCATAGAGGTGTTTAGTACGTTCTTCTATCTTGTCGAGTAACCAAGTATCCGTGGCACCATTTTCGTCTTTCGATAACGCTCGGCGACACACCAATTCACCCAGTCCTTAAGGCTCTCTTCGCTCAGCTGCCCGCCCCCCCTCGCCAACTGTTCAGGTTCTCTGGCTCATTCGCGCGCCAATCGGAATGGTGTCAAAAACTCACGTGGTGGAGTTGAAGAGTAAATACCTGGCCAACGACCTAGATGTCGTAGAGAGTCGGGCCCTACATGCATGCCTGCCATTGACGTTCGAAAACGACGCCGACGGGGCGAAAACGGCGTGGCGAGCCGGCTTTCGCAAGCGACTGAAAGAGTTGTTGGACAAGGAAACAGCAGGACAGCTAAAGCCGGCCGAACTTAGGCGCCCCGTGTACAAGGTGAGTACCTATTGGAGTCAAGGCGAAATTTTTACGTCACTTGTAGGAACTACGGCAACGCCAGACGAGTTGGCGACTCCATCAATTACACCACTGGGCGGAGTACATAAGTGCCTTCGCGCGGATCGGTGTACAATGATGCTTTGTTTTAAAACAATTTGGATGAGCCTCACCATCCATTCCCAAGCAGGAGTCTTCGATCGAATACTCGAAACCCGTGCACAACATGCCTCAGATCCTTCACGGGGGAGGGACAACAATGCCGAAGCACTCGCTCGTAAGCTTTTGTGCGTAGCTCCTGGATTTGTGTGTGTACTGTACTTTCGGTGTTTTCCAGCTCGCCGGACCACCACATCCCAGATACTACTGAAGTCCGAGCCGTTTCTCTGTCGTCCGACGAAAAGCCTCTCGTCTCCGTGTTCGAACGAAAATGGGCAGGACATAGAAAAAGGGCCGTTCGACCCCGACGCAGCCGCCGAAGAGCAAGAAACCATGCGCAGCAGCGCGTTTGATGTGTCGGAGAAGCCGGTTGTGGGTGGAAAGCTTAAGGCGTCCGCGATAGCCGTCATAGGCGATGGACTAGGGGCGAAACTAAAGACTGGGCCACCCCCGCTAGACATGATCGGCGACACGAAGGACAGCTCTGCAGGCGTTGATGGGATGACCAGGTCAATTAGAGAGGGGAGACCCGCTTAGCACATGGATATGAGCCTGTAATTTCGTTGCTCAATGCTTGGTCATGCGTGGCAGAAAAACCCTTGACATGCACACCTTCTCCGCGGTATTAGCGATGTTGATGTTTGTCAGTGACTGAAAAAGCGGGTATTTACATACCAACACCTGGTTACCTTTTGCATCATCACAGGTCAGCTCCAAACTCGCCAGCATCAAAGTATCGACGACAAAGCTATGCACTCTTGAGAGGTCAGCCGACCACTTGCTCGATGAAGAGCATGATGAGTGAGCTGGGAAACCGCATCTCTCACAGAAGACAAAGCAAACGGCGGAGGTCGTCATTCAATGGGGTTCACGACGTATCTCAGCTGCTTCGAGGCGCTTTCGATGACCGCATTGCGGAGAACGGAGGGCTACAGCCGAGTGTGGATGAAGCAAGCTCGCAGGGATCGGATTATGATGCGGCGATCGAGCCACCAATTGATCCTGCGCCGCTGCCGTCGACTCAGCCCTCCCAAGCCGCGAGGACGGCGCCACCGTCCGATCCAAAGTCGAGTGTCGACACAAAGAAGACGAGTCCGAACTCTGGTGCGAGGACCGCCCCTCCGAGCATGAAGGACATGATGGCCGAGCTCGCAGCTAAGGCGAAGGCCCGCGAGGATCGGTCTGCTTCACCGTTGGTGGACGGCAATGCTGGGGCAGGTAACAACGTTGGGGTGGATTCTCCGATTGTTCCGCAATCGATACCGCAGCCACCCGCCACTCCTCCACCCAATCCAAAGTCGAGGGTTGACATCAAGAAGACGAGTCCGAACTCTGGTGCGAAGACCGCCCCTCCGAGCATGAAGGACATGATGACCGAGCTCGCAGCCGAGGCGAAGGCCCGCGAGGAACGGCCTGCTTCACCGTTGGAGGACGGAAACTCTGGGGCAGGTAACAACGTTGGGGCGGATTCTCCGATTGTTCCGCAAACGATACCGCAGCCACCCGCCACTCCTCCACCCGATCCAAAGTCGAGTGTCGACACCAAGAAGACGAGCCCGAACTCTGGTGCGAAGACCGCCCCTCCGAGCATGAAGGACATGATGGCCGAGCTCGCAGCTAAGGCGAAGGCCCGCGAGGATCGGTCTGCTTCACCGTTGGAGGACGGCAATGCCGGGGCAGGTAACAACGTTGGAGCGGATTCTCCGATTGTTCCGCAATCTATACCGCAGCCACCTGCCACTCCTCCACCCGATCCAAAGTCGAGTGTCGACACTAAGAAGACGAGTCCGAACTCTGATGCGAAGACCGCCCCTCCGAGCATGAAGGACATGATGGCCGAGCTCGCAGCTAAGGCGAAGGCCCGCGAGGAACGGTCTGCGTAAGGGCAATCTACATGGTCCCAAATACCAAGACATGCTCCCCTCCGAGCATTAAAGGCATGATGGCCGAGCTCTACGCTAAGGCAAGGGTGCTCGGAGAAAGGTTTGCTTCTTTCTCCTTCCCCGCGGTCGCCGTGGTGAGCGGGACGGGTTCTTGTTGAACAACGGACAAACCGATGTTGCTTAGACGACATAGATCATGCTTTTTCCCGAACAGTTTTGCAGTAGGCCAAGTCCAACGACACCGAACTGGCTGAGTTCTTGTGTTGTTCGTGTCGGCTTAATATCAAGAGTGGTGCTGGACGAAGGAATGTAGGGTGCACAAGGATACTCGAGGATCATACAAGGGCGCACAGGAATACCCAAGCATTATATAGTAGACTGAGCGGATGAATGCATGCACGACCGTATTGTCTGGATGTAGAACAACGCATGCATTCTACTGAGTCGGGTGTAGTTGTGTTAATCTTTGTGCGTGTCTCCTTCGCGAAACCAGTGTCGCTTCGCCTTGTTGGCCGGAAATGACGGACTGCACCCATCTCGGAGACCAAAATTCAAACCACAAGTAGATATAGCGGTAGGAGACTTTCGAGTGTATGTATACATGTGCATACGCACACAGTGCGTGTGGTGTAAGAGTCTCTCGCTCGGATTAACCAACCGACACGGAACGTCCCAGCAAGAGGTCATACCGTGTAGAGGATCTTAGCCTACTTCCGCTTCGCCGAGAAACAGTAGTCTAGACATGCGAAAACATGATGAGCCGAACGTAGACCGCCAAGTGTGCGTAACGCACTCGCAACGAAAACGTCAAAACGGGTTAATCTCGAGCGGCTCAACAACAACGTACGCGGAGGAGGCGCCCATCATGGAGACCACTCATTCGACCAAGTGGTGGTAAGCATTACTTAACAAACATCCCGCCGGTCCATGGTTGACGCTCACTGCAGACGGAATGCGCACCGAAGAATGAAGACCAGCCTTCCCGAAAAGGTACATACGTCATCGCATCTTCCAATCTTTAGGGTCGACACAAGCTCTCGGACACAAAAGCAGAAGTACGAACGATGTGACACAAGGTAGGCGGCAGCGGCAGAGCAGCAACGATAGGTTTTCTTCCGGGATAGGACGCTCTACCGTCCGAAGCAAGAGCGTGGAACATATCGTCGAAAACAACGCAAGCAACTCCTGGTTGCTATATGCGGATGGCTATGCATGCGGTGCATGCCTGATGACATGACATTGCTAATGTTCCACCGAAAAAGAGGAATGCTGGAACCATATTTGTAGGACGTCGTGCTCGGGTCGTTGCTGGCTGTTGGAGCTCACCGGTGTGACCAGAGGAAAAAAAAAACTCCCGCGAAGCACTAAATGGGCCACGTCGAACTCCGCGACGAATTCAATATCCCGATTTGATCTACGTGTACGGCGGTGAGGTACAAACAACGGTAGCCTTTGGGCTTCACCACGGTACCACGGTGTCCCTTGAGCCCAGCAAGTGCAGAATCCGTTCTCGCATCGACAAGTTTATACTGCTGTAGCTTTCTTATCGTTCGGGAATTGCTTGCTGCTATCATACTTGTGGAAGATGCTGGTATCCAGCAATAATTCCCGACGATTGGTATTTGTATTTGATACATGCACAAATGCACCCTACACACAGCAGGTATTGTACCACCTACAAGGGCCAGCTCGAGGAACACCGCAAGCTGGTGAAAGTACGCGCGCGGGTCTAAGGAAAGGAGGGAAAATTGAAGCTTGACCGGCGTTTCAAAACAAAGTCCAGATTACATACTAACCCCCACGACGCACACTTACACCCCGTTTACATTCATTTCCTCTTACATCTCTAGCTCTGGCCAGAAAACGCCGCAATTAAACCCCCACACCAAGATCGATCATGCTTACAGGGCCTGCATCAGAACGAAAAACCAGCTTTTGTATCATAAAGTGAATAACAGAAGAAACAACGGAGAAACCATCTTAAGCATGTCGACAACGACCACAATGACTGTCATAAGCTACAACTACAGACGTTACCTACTTTTTCTACATAAGCCAAAAAATAATTTCTTCAAGACGATGGAATACGAGAGAAAATCTTCCGAGCATAGGAGGAGTACGTCCAACAACGTAGGGGGGAGGGTCGAACGCGTCATAACATTCCTTAAAAAGTCGCGACCCTCAAGGAACACCCAAATACACAACGAAGAGCTCTTCCAGAACCTGAAGAGGTGCTCAAGAAGCACGAATCTGCACACGATATTAAATCGAACGAACGACAATCAACTCAGATCATGCACAAAACGTTAGCAATCTCAGTGTTGACGAGTACCCGCACCACCTTCGACGTTGATCTCCATCCACGCTCATGGGTACCGCAGTGGATATGCCCGCATATTCAGATCCCAAAAAGGAGCAAACGACGGTATCACGAACGGCGGTTATTCCGGCGACGGTTTCACTTCTCGACGGGTACGCCAACTGCCACCGGCATCTCCTCGACCTTCTCTTCCCCCGCGTGCTGCGCGTTAGACACGTACGGTTGCGGCTGCCCGGAGGCGTAAGGCTGGTTGTTCGGCAGTCCGTGTGGGTTTCCTGTTAAGGGAAGAAAACATGCGGAGTACGCACAACGCGGCGGGAGGGCGAGAAACCAAGCAAATTAGAGATGCGAACTAAAGCAGATCGTGACACAGAAAAGTGCGGGGTGTATAGCACACGCCGTACGATGCATCCTTGCCGGTATAATCCGCCGCCTGAGACCGGAAGGGATGCATCCTACTTCAAAACAAAACCTTTACCTTGGTGTTGCGACGGTGTGCTGGAAAGTCTTCTTGATGTCATGGAATAAATCAGTATCATCAGTACCACTCTCAAGGAACGGGCGAAAGAGGTGCCGCCCCAATCTTCTCCACCATTGGTTTTCCTAGCGACTTGCGAAGGGGGAGATCTGCACTTCCACTCACCCCCTCCGGTGGGGGCACTAGGAGTACGTTGGGGGAGGGTTGTGATTTGTGTGGGAAGACGTGCTCGTGATTCTGCCCTGAGGTGATGTAGAGGAATCCCGTAGCTAGTTTCACGTGGCGACACAACCTAGACAGGGATTCTGATCAGCGGTGTTCACTAGGATATGTGTAACGGGAACAAAAAATGGGCTCAGAGAACGGCAAGAGTGAAAATTCTTCGTTTGAAGTGGGACCGGCCACATCAAGTGTTCTCGAGCTTGGCGACCTAATCTATACCCTCACTCCGCAACCAGTCTTCTTTTGGTTTCAACGAACAAAACACAGCAAGCGCACACGGTGTCGGTTCGAGGTGAACAATTCCAACACAACCGCACCCTTCGTCTTGTACTTTGCGACCGATTTCTTGCACTCACACGCCCCGCAATATGCCGTTGACTTGAACAACACGACACTGCGTGCACACGGCCGAAAAAGTACGAGTGTGGGCCGTCGTCCGAGGAGAGTTGGAGAAGGCAACAGAGAGGAAAACGTTGAACTCTTCATGTACTCGCTCCGTTGCACCTGAAGACATCATACGGCCACCACCCTTGACGTGCCACCTACGCAGCATACCGTGTTGTCTTCTGTTGTTGTTGTGGTTGCCCTTCTTGTTCTTCTTGCCGACCTTCCTCTGCAAGAAGCGAAACGCCATGAAGAGCATTCCGAGGCGCCCGCAGCCGAACGTTCCCGGCCCAACGTGGCTGCCTCTCATCCGGGGACCCTTGGCCCCGCCCTTGGAATAAACGCCTCCGCCATGGTCTACACCGTGCCCTGCTCTCCTGCCACCCTTGCCGGCGCCTTTTCCTCTCCCCCCCCCTCCCCCCTTGCCCGTGCCTCCTCCTCCGCCCCTCCCCCCACCGCCCCTCCCTCCTCCGCCCCTTCCTCCCTTGTGCTGCAGCTTCTTTTTCTGATGTTGGTTGTTGTGGTCTTGTTGTTGGTGCTGGTGTGCGCCGGGTGCGCCGGCAGTACTGCCGCCGCCGTCGCCGCCTTCGACGGGGACGGCAACTGCTGTCGCCATCGCTGGCTGTGCCTCGGACGCTTTCGACTCCTTTCCCATGGTTGACCTGGCTGGCACGCGCCGAGCATGGAGGGCGCAACGTTGGGCGGCGAACCGATCATGTGGGATTTCGAGTGCAGAGAGGTATACACGTCGTAATACTCTTGGGCGCGGTTCGTCTCTTGCTCTTGCCTCGTCCTCTCGGGCTGTGAACCAGCCACAGCACGTCTCGCAAAAGTCAACTCTGATCCAGCCACGTTCAAAGCTGCTGGACCCCACCAACCCGCACGAGACCCGCCCACAATGGTTGAATTGTTCGGTTGCTTCGCAGCACCTTGTGCGCTTTCCATCTTCCTTCTCCATCAGCAGGGTAACACCCAAACACTCTCTCCCATCAACCCAAAAAAACATCGGCAGGCTGGCACGGCAGACTTTTGCACAAGACATGCAAGGCGCCCTCCACCCAAGACGCCTCTCGAGGACGCGTGGCCAATGGCCAAGCAGCTAAGGCATGCAAAGAACTAGAACCCCCCCCCCCCCCCCCCCCCCCCCCCCCCCCCCCCCCCCCCCCCCCCCCCCCCCCC